CGGAAGAGTGGGTGCCAATCTAGAGTTCTGAGGTCACTACAAGGTCCCTCACACACACTGGTCTAAGCTTTGGACCTTATCCACTAAGGAAGACAATTAGAAGATGTGAGGGATTTTAGAAAGTCAGAGCCTCTAGTGACTGCTCCATCCAGTGGGTGCTGCTCATCCTGTATCCCTTTTCTACTTCCTCATTCCCAAGAACTGGGTCATCCTGGTGGAGGAAACATGGCTGCTTCCTTGGGGCTGGGTAAAAGTCTGTCTTAGGAGAAGAGATCTGACAGTAGTGAAGGTACCCTGTTTGCTGCTGTGGACAGCACTCGGCAGCCTTCTAAATCCAGCCATTGTATTCGTATTTGTTGGTGGGTTAGCAATGAGCCCACCCTCTGATAGGCAGTGGGGTAGATACAGAGGAAGCAAACATGGCCGTTTATAAAGGCACTCGTAGGCTGTTGCAGAGACAGAGCTCTTCTGTGTTCAACTGTGTGACCCCGCGTGTCAGTTCAGTACTAGGTCAGAAATGAGGAACCTAGTATTGACTGGAGTTGGCAGAAAAGCCTCTGTAGATGTGGGCTTGAAGAGTGGGGAGGATTTATTCCAGGGGCAGAAAGAACATGCTAGAATCACCAAAGCAGTGAGCTCTGGAGATGTGCAGGGAGAGAGTAGCCGGGGTCATGGGGCCACAGTCTCATACTAGAGTCTGGTTATTGTTGCTCCAGCGTGAGGAACCTCACCTTCAAGAAGGAATTTGAGTTCAAGGACCTCACCTTCAAGAAGGGCTTTGGCAAGGAGTTATGGCAAGGGGCCCAAGAATGCATGCACGTTTATGTATTTTTTTTCTAAAACCATATGTTTTAGCTGAATGACTCCCATGAGGGGTTGAGCTATATTTTGATGTTTAGAGGGCCCTTCATTGTTAAAGATACTGGCATGAGACTGGCGCAGTGGCCTGCTCTGCCCTCTGCCCCACCCATGATTGACACCTTGTTGATGAGGCTCTTTCTCATGAGTGTTCAATACATGGAATTGCCTGTAACCACGGGACTGCCAGGAAAGTACAACCAATTACTGAGCAACCCAGTTATTTCCTTTCCTAGGGTAAACCTACATAGCAAGAGGTCAGTCAGTCTTTCCTGTCTGACTTGATTCTGAAGGAATGGCAAGTAGCTGAGGACACTGGCAAATCCTACCGCTCACCTTTCTCATCCCCTGATGTTTACCAAATAAGATGCAGGATGACCCAGTAAACTTGGATTTCAGATAAACAAACGAACACTTTTTAAGTACAAAGATATCCCAAATACTGCAAGTTTCATTGTTTGTTGAGTGTGTTGGGAGCAGGTGTTAAATCTGGCAACTCCAGTCCCCAACTACTTCCTGTTATCATTTTGAAGTCTTTGCGGAGTCCATTTGGGGTCTCTATTCAGCAGAAGAGTGTCAATCTCAGTCCTATGCAGCTTGTGCTGGGCAGCTGGCATCTTTAAGAGGAAGAGTCTTAACATTCTCACTTCCTGGAGGATCCGAGATCACCTCAGATGAAGAACTAGGGGACGTTTGAGAGTGGAGCTGCGGGTGTAGGGAGGATCTGACTTCTCATGTCAGGTCTCCTTTTGGCTGAATAACCTTGGACAAATTACTTTGCCTGTCTCTTTGCATCTCTTTTTATCTTGTAAAAGATGGGAGTTGACCTGGAGGGTCTCTGAGGCCTGAATGGGAAAAGTTAGGAAGACAGTTACAGCTTGGGATGTGGAGTGTGAGGCTGCTGGGTGTGCGGGGTGGGAATGAAGGCAAGACTTCAGGCTGTTTCCCCTCTGCAAATGTGGGGGAGGATACGGGGTGAGTGCTGTGGTAACAGGCTTGCAGTCTGCCAAGTTGGGGACTTGGGTTTCACACAAAATTGGGTTTGAAATCCTGGTGTTTCAGGCCATGGGGAAAAAACACACTCTTACATCAAAATGTGAAGGGTGGGGGGCAGCTTGGGTGCATCCCCTCTCAGTTCCCCACTGACCTGCACAATGGAGCCTGTACATGGCGTCAGGGGGCCATGTCCGCAAGAGGCCTCGGAGGTATCTCTTGGCTGAGTACCCAGGCTGGATCTGCCGTTGGGCCTGGCTCTCCAGCTGGCTTCGGAAGTAGAGGTACGGCTGCCAGGCTCTGTCCTGCTTCCCCTGTGGGGGACACCCGTCAGGAAACAGCACAGCTGCTGAGCCTGAGCCTCCGAGAGATATAGGCTGGTTAGCACAATCCTCGTCAGTAATCCAGGAGACTCCCAGAAAGTGCCAGAAGGCACCAAAGACAGATGCCTCAGCTAACAGACCTAACCTGAGAAAAGCTCTGAAAGGCCCCTGCAGATTGGCAGTTGGAAAGAGAAGGAGAAATGACAAATACCAGACCCCATCTTGAAAAAGAGCATTAAGAAAAGGATAAAAGCCTCCGAAGAACACACATTACCTAGTTCAGCCTGTGGAAATCATTTCAGTACCCTCCCAAATGGCCCTGTGCTGTAAGAGAGAGCCAGCTTGCAAATCAGCCTTGGCACTCAGTGTTCATAATAGGAGTAGTGGGATATACAAACCACATCCATGTTTATGGGGAGCTTGGCATTTGAAAATACCTGGCTCTGCTGATTTCGTTTCAGGTAGGGAAAATTTTCTGGGAAGCTGCTTGTCAAAGTCAGTCCCACTGTGTAAGACATCATGGGGAATAAGTGGGAATAACATCTTATACTTGGCTAGGAATTTACATTATACAAAAAACTGTCATGGGGACCAGTTGGTGGCATGGTGGTTAAGGTGCTGGTCACTCCCACATGGCTGACCACAGTTCAAGTCTCGGACCTGGTGGCTTGCTTTCTCATTTTCTCTCTCTCTCTCTCTGTTTCTCTCCGGTCAAATTAAATGAATTAATAAATAAAATTTAAAAAACAATTATTTAAAAGAAAACTTTCACCTTATTATAATCCTATGAAGTGAACTGAGTTAATACAACCACTTGTAGAAACAATGTAGACACTCCAGGAGGGTGATCAGTAATGCAGAGAACAGCAAACATGTGAGACCAGTGTGAACATTTCTTACCCGCCCTTTGTCTGTGGCAGACATCACTAATCAATCATAGCATGATTGACTGCTGAACTGAACAAAATCTCAAAGTCCACTTTCTCTTTTAAAGCATTCAAAAACTGAGACATAACTTGTATATAAAAACATGCACAGAGCTTGGTGTTTAGTTCGATAAAATTTGGTAATTGTCTACACCTTTGTCAACACCATGGAAAACAAAATACAGAACATTTTCATCAGCCCAGAAAGTTCTCTTGTGCCACTTTCTAGTCAGTGTCTTCCCGCCCACCAGGTAATTACTATTCTGATTTCTGACACCACAGACTAGTTTGTTCTATTCTTGAACTTCATATACATGGAAACATACAGCTTAGATTCTTTGATGTCCCATGAAAGTGATCCTTCCAGTGTCCCAGTGAGAACTGGCAGTGAGATAAAACCCATTTGCCACCCCTTAGTTAAGCAGCTCCTCCAGGCCAGTGTAGACTGGGAAGATAGAGTGTAAAAGGCTCAGCCAATCAGCAATGGGTTAAGAACCAGAATCCAGGGCTTTGAAATCCACATCTGTGCAAAACCTCCTATTCTTCAAGGTCTCGGTCCATTCATCAGTGGACCAGGACTTGGCATGATCCAGCTTGATGTCAAAACAAGAAATAAAGATGGTTTTGCTGCAGGTGCTTCAGTGAGCACTGTAGATAGTAAGAGCTGTAAGACTAGTGAGACCAGCAGTTTCATACTTGTTAGGTTACAGTAAACCTAACTTAATAGGCTTAAACCATGAGAAAGTCAGCTTAGTACGTCAGATAACAAAGAGGCCAAAGATCAGAGAGAACCAGAGTAGGAGGGTGATCCATAGAGCTGGAGTACTTAATGGCCTTGTGGAGCAGCTGGTCAAATATGAAATTCCTATCCCCAAACCTTTTGTTACCTGAGATAATCAAATCTCCTTATTGCTGAATCCAGGACTGGAAGGCTTATTTATTTATTTATTTTTAATGCCAGAGGGCAGGTGTGGTCATCAGAAAGAGAAAAAGTGAGCACATCCCTGATGGGGTGTGGTCACCCTGAAATTCCTTCTCTTTACTTTCTCCATGCCGCCAGGATTTTGGGTTTGCACACATGCACGCACATGCACCTGGCATATTTTTCAAGCTGCTGGGGCTGAGATTTGAACCGAAGTTAATGAGATCTGGCTTTCTCTGCAGAGTACTTTACTGCCCTAATGGGCTGGCTGAGGCAAGGCCGATTTTTTTAAAGGGCCAGATAGTAGGTATTTTAGGCTTTGCAGGCCATAGGGTCTCGTTGCCAGCACTTGGCCTGTCCTTACAGTGCAAAAGTAGCCATAGATAATATATAAACAAATAGGGCTGGTTGTGTTCCAATAAAACTTTATTTACAAAACAAATAGTGGGTAGGATTTGGTCAAACCCTGACTTAAACCACTGAGAACTAAACAACTTGTTTGCAGCCTAAGTATTGCTGATACAGAGATATAATATGCGAGCAACAGATTAGAAGATGCTACCGATTCAAGGAGTAGGGAACAGGCACTGGAGAAAAAGGGGCAAATAAGACAGGTAATGATGAATAAACAGGCAAGAGATGAAGCCTAGCTTATTATTCAAGTGACTCTATTCTCCAGGAATTTGTGTAGTAAATGCTTGGAATGCAAACACGGAGCATCCCCTGCTCCTTGCTGTTCAGGCAGTTTATGTAGCAGGTGCTTCAAGTGCAAAATGAACCTTGGAAATTCAGCTACACGTCGTCTTCAGGCTTGTGCCAATGGATGTGAAAGAAAGAATTGTAGATAGTGGAAGCAACACGATACCTCATACACTCCGCTTTTATTTTTCTTTCTTTCTTTCTTTTTTTTTGAGAGGTTTTTGCTATAGGGTGCGTGCGCTCTTCAGACAGACAGAGAGAGAGCAAGAAATCACCCGCCATGGGGGATGGCCATGCCGCAATCCCTTCTCCTCCATTCTTCTCTTGGGATCTTGGGCACGCATGCACATGCGCCAGGCGTGAGTTTAAGCCACCAGGTCCAGGACTCGAACATGCGGTCGACTACATGGGAGTCCAGCGACATAGCCATTACACCAACTGCTGGTCCCTACACCCTGCTTTTTTATGCTTGTACAATTAATGTCTGTTGGTCCCTGCTATGGTTTGAATGTGTCCCCCACCCTCCCCAAATTCATACATTGAGAGATTTGAAGAGCCATTGTAACGGTGCTGAGTGGGTGAAAATTCAATCCGATCGTGTGTTGAAAGATGGAAACTTGAGGAGGGGGATTGGATGAGGTCATCGGGGTGGGGCCTCCATGATCAACTCCTGGTACCTTTCTAAGGGACACACAGAAACACAAACATGGACACACACACTCTTGCCTCTTGACACGTGATCCTCTATGCTGCCTCAGGGCTCTGCAAAGAGCCCCACCAGCAAGAAGGCCCTCACCAGCTGTAGCTTCTTGACCTTGGACCTCTAAAACCACGAGCTAAATAAATTTCTGTTCTACATTGCCCAGTTTTGGGTATTCAGCAACAGAGACCAGACTGTGACAGGCATTTTATATACCAGGTTGCATTGGAGCCTAAAACATGAAGCCATTCAACCTGAGGCTTTTTCTAGGTGAGCTGGTGCCCCATTACCTCCCTGTAAGTCTTTGCTAAAACTGACTTCTCTCTGAATGTGGCAAAACCCAGCCTCTTCCAGATGCTGTGTCCCTGTGCCATGACAGAATGCACCGTTTGAGTTGAGACGAAATCCCCCTGGTTCTCCTTAGTATTTCTAAAGTACCAGCTTAGTTCCATGGCTTTACTGGGCTGCTGGCTCTGTGGCGTATTATTATAACAAATTACCACATGCTTAGTAGCCTAAGCGATAGAAACGTACTATCTACCATTCTAGAGGATAGAAGTTTGAAATGCTCTTTCTGGGCTAAAGTCAAAGTGCTGACAGATGTTCTTTTTGGGAGACTATGGGGAAGACTCTGTCCTTTTCTTTTCTCACCTCTATAGGCTGCCCATACTCCTTGGCTTGTGGCCCCTTCCCCCATCTTCAAAACCCAGTGATGTTGGGACTAGCAGTTAGTGTAATGGCTATGTTGCTGGAGTCCCATGTAGTCGACCACAGTTCGAGTCTCGGACTCGATGGTTTAACACTCACGTTGGGCGCGTATGCGTGTGTGCCCAAGATCCCAAGAGGAGAATGGAGAAGGGATTGGGTGTGGCCATCCCCCCCTGGGGGGTGATTTCTCACTTTCTGTCTCACTGTCTCTGTCTGGCGAGTGCACGTGCCCTGTAGCAAAAACCTCTCAAAAAAAACCCCCCAAAAAACCCAGTGATGTTGGGCTGACTTTTCAGGCAGTCCTTTCTCTGGTTCTTCCTTCTGATTCCTTCTTCCATTTTTGAAAACCCTTGTGCTTACATAGGGCCCACTCAGATAACCAAGATGTCTCCCCAGTTTAAGGCCATCTGATTAGCAACCTTATGCCAACTTAATCTCTTTGTCGTGTAACCTGACGTTTCTCAGGTTCTGGGGAATTAGACTGTAGTTGTGGGGTGGGGAAGGGATTATTCTGCGTACCCCAGATTCTTTATGCTTTTTCTAATTTTCTGGTTTCTCTTAGTCAATTCTCAAATGATGCTTGTGAAGCTAGTTAATAATGCCACAACTCATTGGGTAAACTGAGGCACAGAGGGAAGCCCAAGCCTGCTCAGGATTCCCAATGGGACCCCTCAGGGTGAAATCTATTCACTCATTTGCAATGTATTTAATAATATTTTAAGTGGAAAAAGCAAAATCTACAAGAAAACGTCTGCAACATAATTATAGCCTCATAACAGTTCGTTCGTCCTCTGTGTGTATAACCGTGGTGGAAAGACTGGGAGGGAACAGATTAAAAATCTAATAATGGCAATTCTAGGGTGTTGCGCAGAAGCTCTCAGAGTTTTCTCTTTTTCTATAAAGTCAAATTTCTAATGATATATTTAAATGATCATAAACAGAAACATGTTAATTCACTGCACACACTCTCTCCTCACACTTATTCCTCTAGCCTGTCTCCGACATTATTCTGGACCTTGCCACTCTCTCAAAGGTT